ACTCCCTAAATGGCCTCAATGGCCGGAGCTGCACCCATCCAAATCCCGTAGCCAAGAGTTTCTTCCAGGTCTCCCACATGGGTGCAGGGGCCCAAGCACTTGGGCCATTTTCCACTGCTTTCCCAGGCTATAGCAGAGAGTTGGATCAGAAGTGGAGCAACTGGGTCTTGAACTGGCACCTATATGGGATGCCAGCACTGCAGGTAGTGGCTTTACCCACTATGCCACAGTATCTGCCCCACCCATCCACTTGAGCCATCACTTGCTGCTTCTCAGGGTGTGCATTAGTTGGAAGTTGGAATCAGTGGCAGAACCAGGACTCGAACCCAGGCACTTTGATATGGGATGTGGACATCTTAACCATTAGGCCAAATGCCTATCCCTAATCACATGATATATTTAGCAAAATGTAAATCATGCTACACAGTGGTGCTCTCTCATACCCCTTTATGGATGCCCTTAAGCCAGATACTGTTTTCATCTACCAGGATTATTGCACTCTGCTTTTACAAAGACTCCCTTCCTCCCCAGTCTCTAACATTGTCTCTCTTGTTCAAAAATTTTATTTTCTATTAGAGAGGAGAGTTCCCTGCCACTGTTTGATTCCCCAGTGCCTACAGTAATTGGAGTAGGCCAGGCTGGGAACTCAGTCTGGGTCTCCCATTAAAGAACCCAATTACTTGAGCCATCATCTGCTGTCTCCCAGGGTCTGCATTAGCAGGAAGCTGGAATCAGAAGTAAAGACAGGACTTGAACCTAGGTATTTTGAATGGAACATGGGTATCTTATCTGCTAGGCCAAATGACCATCCCTTCTGTTCAGTTTTCACATGTCGTGTATTTACTACTTTGACCCTTTGTCCCCATTTGCTCAATACTCTAAATTCCCACCCTTATACCTTCAGGCTCTGAGACTGTACTGACTCCCTCACCTCATGGCCTGATGTGTTTTACATTACCTTGTATACCCTAGTTCATATTTCTTTGTCTCTTATGTCTGAGGGTACTTCAAAGAGTTAATGAAAACATGAAATTAAAAGTGTCAATTTATTTGGATGCAAAAAACTTTTTAATATGAAGAAAATGTGTATTAAGAAAACTTTATCCATGGATTTCAAAATTCTTTGCACCAAAATAAACTTATACTTTTATTTTTCCACAAGCCATTTGAAGTACCATTGTACCCTTTTTTAAAAGGTTCCCTTTTTTGTTTGTTTGTTTGTTTGTTTGACAGGCAGAGTGGACAGTGAGAGAGAGAGACAGAGAGAAAGGTCTTCCTTTTGCCATTGGTTCACCCTCCAATGGCCGCCGTGGCCGGCGCACTGCACTGATCCGATGGCAGGAGCCAGGTACTTATCCTGGTCTCCCATGCGGGTGCAGGGCCCAAGGGGCCATCCTCCACTGCACTCCCGGGCCATAGCAGAGAGCTGGCCTGGAAGAGGAGCAACCGGGACAGAATCCGGTGCCCCGACCGGGACTAGAACCCCGTGTGCTGGCGCCACAAGGCGGAGGATTAGCCTATTGAGCCACGGCACCGGCCAAGGTTCCCTTTTCTAACTTCATGTCCTGCTCTTGTACTTACCCTTCTCCCAAAAAGCAAAATGCTTGAAGTGCTCTTGTTCTCTTACACAACTCTCTATTCACCATTGATATTTCCTAATATTTAAACAGTCTTAAACTTCTTTCTCTTACAGAAAGCTACCTTGGATTGATAAAGCCTCTTATTTTCCTGAACTTTATCCATTCCTGGACACCAATAAGCACTATCACTCCAGTAATGCCACCTGTCTGTTCTTTGTCTTTTCATTATCTGAATGTACTTTCCATTGATAGACATTTACTGCTTGCTTGATTATATGTTTTGTTGTTGTTCTCCTAAGCTCCTAGAAGACAGGGAATCACATCTGTTTAATTCTTTGTGTGTTACCTAATACAGGTCCACTATTACCATTACTGCACATAGATGGCTCATAACTGCTCTCTGATAATAGGAAACCTTGGTTTGATAGAGTGGTGAATGTTGAGCATTTGGCATATGTATTGCACACATTTGTGTGCAGAGCATGAAGGGAAAAACTCTTGGCTTTGGATGTTTAAAGCATTCCCTATTTAAGAGACAGCAGGTGGTAAAATTAATCTTATAAAAAGATAATTTAATGTTTTTCAAATTTGTTATTTTGCTTCTGTCAAGTTTAGAAAAGCATATGGAAATCAAATAAAGCTAAAACATTACTTTGATATATCAATCCAAAGAATAGTTGATTATGGTAAATTAGGATTTGTCATAGAAATTTCATAATGCCCCAAGGACTGAAATGCAGAGAGAATGTAGCAAAAGCTGCAGTTGTAGATGCCTTTCTCATGCAAATCATTATCTATGAGGTCTCAATAACACAGGCTTACAGAGTAATTGCTAGAGTGATGTCCAGAATAAAATCTGATATATAAACAGAAAGAAGCACTGGCTGTTGTATACAGTTAACATAATGACTGTAAGAACTCCTTGAAGGAAATGCTAAGGATTTGTTAACTCATAATTGGGAACAGTTGCTGGGAGATAAGTTTACAAGAGGAAAATATGTTTAGAAACTTGAAATGGTCTTAAGGTTTGTATCCTTCTTCCCAATCATAACATCTTCAAGTTAAATGAAAATGGTTTAAGGCAACTTGATATGAAGTTTAATTTAGCCATGAGAGTTGCAGTTTTTAGGCTTTTTTCTTCTTTCAGGATTTATCAGAAGAATTTTACTTTTGGTTTAAATATTCCTATTTACCACAAGGCCACAACAGCCAGAGCTGAGCCAGGCTGAAGCCAGAAGCCAGGAGTTTCTTCTGGGTTCCGCCTGTTGGTACAGGGACCCAAGCACTTGGGCCATCTTCTGCTGCTTTCCCAGGCATGTTAGCAGGGAGCTGGATAGGAAGTAGAGCAGCTGGGTCTCAAACCAGCATCCATATGTGATGCTGGCACAGCAGGTGGCAGCTTTACCTGCTCTGCCATAACACAGACCCTTGTCAGAGGTGTTTTGAGACGCAATAATTGGTATTCATGGGGGGAAAGGGAGAGAAATGTCTCAGGTTTGGAAGGTAATTTTATAGTCCTCATTGAACTGCTTCAATATCTACCTGAGCATATTAAAAGGACTAAGAACTCTGCAGTAAGTAAATTGTTTATCTGTAACCAAATGTTTTTCAAGCATTTAACTCCAAAGTTCTTTTTGCACAGAAGGAATACCTATTAGCTGTTTTTGAAACAAATTTTCTAAGAGTAGAATTTGGAAAGTGTTTCACTAACCAACAAAACCTATAGGTCAAAATTAATGCCTTTTTCAAAATTCTAATTTACAGCAGGGAAATAATTTAATTTTGGCAAAGTCTGTCCTAACATGGATTTCACATGTACCAGTCATTCTGAATGCCACTGGATCTGAAATATCCCATGTTTTTAGACATCCATTTAGAAATCTGGTATGGAAGAGTGGAAAGTATGGAGGAATATATTCAGGGATTTAGTTAATCTGCTAATATTTATGTTGCTATTTTATATCTAATTTTGTGTATTTTCTTGGGGAACTTTGCACACACACCAGTTGGTTAAGGGATGAAATGTTTCAGAAGCTAGGTGAAGTTCCATTGAAAAGCAGGGACAAATATTTTAATTTGACTGCACTACTCTTTATAAATTAATTTCTGATTCTGATAAATTAATGTTTGATTCATATGGTAGGACTTTTCCCACAAACAAAATGGTGATGTTTGTAGAGTGCTGGTACAGTAGCAGTGTACCAGATAAAATGACAAAAATATTTTCCTATCTAAATCTTTAATAATCTAAGCTATTTTTCTCTTCATGTTTTGCCAACATTTTTCTCCTCACAGGATAAAAGATAATATTGATGTTGGGTAAATGAGCAGTATTGGCTTCATCTGGGCTCATTTTATTTTCCCTTTTCTTTTTGTCTTTCATCAGGCAGTATTGTATAATGGTACTCAAAAAGCTCATGTAAAATAGAATGAAAAGGTAAATTCATTTTAGCACAAAAATTTTTTGAATTTCATGCAGTAGTTTTTTGATAATACACATTTTATGAACTTTTTGAAGACTCCTTGTATGCATGAATTTCAAATTTTCCCACCAAAATAAACTTTGATTTCATTTTCTGCAAATGGTTCACTCCCCCAGATGTCTGCCATGGCTGTGGCTGGCCCAGGGTCAAAGCTGGAAGCCAACAACTCAACCTAGGTATCCTATGTGGGTGGCAGGAACACAGTTACTTGCACTATCATTACTACCTCCCACAGTCTGCATTAGCAGAAATCTGGAGTTCAGTACCAAAGCCAAGTATTGAACAGAGGTATTCCAGTATGGGACACACATATCCATAAGGGACCAAGACATCTTAAATATTAGGCTAAATGCCTACCCCACCACAAACTATTTTTTAAAAAGGTTTTATTGGGGCCGCTACTGTGGCGTAGCAGGTTAAGCTGCTGCCTGCAGTGCCGGCATCCCATATGGGCGCCGGTTCAAGTCTCGGGTGCTCCATTTCCGATCCATCCAATAAACTTTATAAAGTGTACCTGTATATGTTCCTGTGCTTAGGTAAACTGATGCCTCTGAAAAGAGGGCAAGTTTCTAGAGAAATTTCGTTTGTTATTCTCTAAAACATCCTAAAATCGAATCCCTGATATTCTAAGACCAGGGTTGGGCTCATTGCATTTTGGAGGGAAGGGTGGGATTTTGATTTGTGGTAGGGCAATGGTACTGTGGCTTTCACAAATCCTGCAGTCTCCATGGCCTGGAAATTTTAGTCTTACAAAAGGGCACTTAGGGAATGGGTGCTAGAAAAGCAACCAGAAATTTCTTTTTATTCCGAGTAAAGCAAAAATTTGAAATTCAACAGCAGACTACTAGATAACTAGATATTTTTAATCTCCAATGAAAAGTTTAGATATTTTAATTTTGCAAATACATTAACAGTTTCTTTTCTTGGATCTTTTTAGAGGACAAGAATTTTGGGCAGATTTGAATGCCATGAATGTGCATGAAACAACTGAATTTGACCAACTACGAAGGCTGTCTACACCATCCTCTAGCAATGTCAACTCTATTTACCATACAGTCTGGAAATTCTTCTGTAGGGACCACTTTGGTTGGAGAGAATATCCTGAGGTACTTACAAGTTCTTTTTTAAAAGGCAATTTTCTTTTTGTTTTTTTTTGTTTTTTTTCTGTCTGTCCTTCCTGCCTGCCTGCCTAACTGTGACTAGGCAGAAATATAAATTGTAATCAGAGAGTTTATGGATATGAAATGGAGTCTTACTGATAAAAATAAAAATATTTCTCTTCATTTTTCTGAAAATGTGTTTCTTTCCATTAATCAGAAATCCATCCTATAGGATACCCATGTTATCAGAGAAGTCAGATGGTTTCTCCAGAATCTTAAGCTACAGAAGTGAAGTACCTAAACCTGGTGCGACTTTTGAAATAATTTTAATGAGATGAAAACTGGTATAGATTTTGGCTATATCTGACTCCTATGGGATCAGAAGCCTAATGGAAGCAGTCAGTCACTCTCAGGTCACTGGAAAAAGTAGTGGAAAATAGTTGAGCTGTGGTCAAGCAAATGAATTTTGTTATATGTACACATGCCATCTATATCCAGAGATTGTGAGAATAGTTCATCATTCACAAAATAAGATTTCAAGATGATTATGATTTATTTTACCTCTGAATGATAATCCTGAGTCAGTTTTAAATTTAAATGCCCTGTAATAGCCTTTAAAGATTAGTTTACCTTCTACAGATCTGATCTTGTTAATTTGGCTAAATTAATTTCTGGCCTTACAATAAGGAAGAATTGACCCTCCCTAGATTTTTTTAAGGCATTAGTAAAAGAAAAAATGACCTAGTTATTATGTTAATTACTGTAAAACACAATATTGACTAAATTTCTGACTCCCTTTTAGGCAATCGCTAGTAAGAAGCTATCTAAAATGTATTATAGGACCAGCATTTTAGAGTAGCAGGTTAAGCTGCCACTTGGGAGGCTGGCATCACAGAGTCCTCATTCAAGTCCCAGCTGCTCTGCTTTGATCCAGTTCCCTGTTAATGCGCCTGATAAGGCAGTTGAAGATGACCAAGTATTTGGGACCCTGCCACCCACGTGGGAGATCTGGATGGAGTTCCTGGCTCTTGACTTCAGCCTGGCCCAGACTGCTGTTATGACCATTTGGGAGAGTGAATCAGCAGGTGGAAAATTCTCTCTCCCTCCCTCTCTCTCACACACAAAAGCCAGTGAATGGAAGATTTCTATCTGTCTCTCCCTTCCAACTCTCCATGTCTTTCTGTCTACCTTTCAAACAAATAAATCTTTAAAAGTAAAATGTTTTCTAGAATATGTGTACTGTCCCTATATTTTTCCATAGAGGTGTTTTGTTTTTTTCTTTCTTTAAACATTACCATCTTTAATTCCTTTTTTGAAAATTATCTTTAAAAATAAAAATAAAATATTGGGGCCAGCATTGTGCCATAGCTGGGATGCCAGCATCTCAATGGAGCCAATTCATGCCCCAGCTGCTCCCGTTCCTTGCTAATGGCCTAGGAAAAGCAGCGGAAGATGGCCCAACTGTTTAGGGCCCTGCCACCTATGTAGGAGACCTGGATGAAGCTCCTGGCTCGCTGGTGGCTATTAGGACCATCTGGGCAGTGAACCAGCAGGTAGAAGTTCTTTCTCTTTCTGTAACTCTGACTTTAAAAATAAATAAAATCTTTAAAACAGAAATCTCTAGGACATTGTCAAGGTTCAAAATAGAATAGTTTCTTGGGTTTCACGTTTCAAAAGATGGTTATCCATGTATGGCTGGAGCTGTGGCATAGTGAGTAAAGTCGCAGCCTGCAATGCCAGCATCCCATATGGGCACCGGTTTGAGACCTAGATTCTGCATTTCTGATCCAGCTCTCTGCTGTGGCCTGGGAAAGCAATAGAACATGGCGCAAGTGCATGAGCCCCTTCACCACATGGGAGACCCGGAAGAAGATTCTGGAACCATTGGATGGAAGCTTACTTGCTCTCTCTGCCTCTGCCTTTCAAATAAATAAATAAGTTTTTTTTTTTTTTAAGGTTATCCGTGCTCTTCTGGACAGGGAACAACTTTCTGCTGTGCATTTCTGAGGCCCTACTTATAAAGAGAATTAATTTGACTCACTGTTCTTTATTGAATTTCTGTGATGTTAACAGTGAGGTTAACTCTTTTTGCCTCTAGTTATGTTTTCATATTTTATAGTGATTATTAATTGACTTGGTTTATTTCTTTACCTTGTTTTCTACTCCATAGTCTGTTATTCGATTGATTGAAGAAGCCAACTCTCGGGGTCTGAAAGAGGTCCGGTTTATGATGTGGAATAACCATTACATCCTCCACAACTCATTCTTTAGAAGAGAAATAAAAAGGAGACCCCTCTTCCGCTCCTGTTTTATACTGCTTCCATATTTACAGTAAGTATCTATTGAAAATTATCATATTTAGACTTATTTTATGTAGATGCACCACTTACTGCCAGAGAGAAGATTTTACATTAAGAGAATTTCTTAGTTAGTACTTAAAGAATGAGAAAATCTGAATTTTTTGGATTTAATCCTTTGATAAATAGCGTTTAGATAAGCTACAATGAACCTGACACTGAAAGAATGAATATCCTGTTGTAGTTTTTGAACTGAAAAGGAGAGTAAACATTTTTTTATAACTAAAAGTAATTATGTTTGAATGAGGCACAGAGCTTGCATTTGCCTTTCATGGAAGATTGAGTTTCCCTTTCATGAAGGACTACTTCCACGATGAGACATTCTGTGTTCCTAGACTGTGCTTTTCATGTTATTTACATTCTCATTTGCTAAGAAAGGCATATTGTCCTATGGTACACAGTAAAACTGTTATACTAAATATAATTTCTTAATAAAAAGGTTAAATTGAATTCACCTTTCTGAACTGTAAGTGATCTCTTCTTCCATTTTCCCAAATGCCTTTTCTTGCTTTCTTCTCCAGATGGCCTACTAACATATCTCCATAGGTACTAAAAGGTAGGGCTCATTACCATTAGCATGGCCATTTTTGAAAGGCAGTGTCTTCAGAGAAATCATTAAATACTTCAGTCAGTCAGATAAATCATCTTTACGGCCTGATTTTGAAAATGATACTAGGTTTACATGATGTTGTGAACTTAGGAAATCTAAAATAGTATTGGTTGGTGTCTTAGCTGTGAAGTGAAGTTGCTGTTTTTATATTCCTACTTTTTAAAATTTCAATTCCAAACTGTTTTCCCCAAGTTGTTATGACAAAATCTTAATGATTCTAATTCTAGTATTGCAGTGGGAACATTAAAGACAAAATGCAAATGAAAATCCCTGAAATGATCAATATCTAAAAGAAATGTGCAATAAGACCAGTTTTAAAAGTATATATTGGCTTGGGTTAAGTGTGTGCTTTCTTTCAAGTCCAAATGTGAATAATCTTACCTTGTAGGGTTTTTTAATTAGAACTAATAAAAATGCCATTTTTGTGATTGGCTAGCACAGCTGGAGATAGTGTCAGTGTCCAGTAGTTAGGAACATATTGTTCTCCTGGTGAGACAGTAGAACTCATTAGTTGAGACCAGCAGTTTGGCATGCTGAGCCAATCAAGCAAGATGTTGCTTCTGTGTGATGGTAAGTGTGCTCATTCTAGTGCTGCACTGTTGGGGAAGTTTTAATAAATGATGAAAATATATTTCAGTCTTAAAGCAAGTAATTATGAAATATCTCTTTTTTAAACTTAGGCTTGTTTTATAGAAGTATGAATTATAAAAATAAAATAAGCAGTAGTAGAATTAATGCCACTCTGTAGCATTACTACATTTATAGTATAGGCTTACAAAAGAAGGTAAATGGTTACTCTTTCCTTTTTCTCTTTAAAGTTTCCATTTTATTCTTCCTCTCTGAAACAGTGATAATAAAGTAAGAAGTCAGCAAATCAAAAACATTGGATGTAGGAACTTAGGATCAGAGAAACATTAAGTTTACCAGGCGGTGTGGATAAATGTAGCCATCCTCTCGGCCCTAGTTGGGGCTGAGGGACACTTGAACTGGCTTGCTAAGAAGAAAAAAATGGGAAATTGGTTCCAAAAAGTGAATTTCAGAAGTAGACTCCAGAGACTATGATGTTAGCTAAGGAGAAAGTTTTATTTTGTGTTTAAGTGTTACTAAATGCAAAGTGTCAAAGAAAAGCAGGTTTTAAAAAAAACTACAGTTGTCAGGAAATCAGATATCCAAGGGATATGGAGAGGGGCTAAAAATAAAGGATTTGTATTATCTGATTTCCTGACATTTCTTCAGAATAATGGTGATTTTTTAAGGAGTTGTAGAACTTTGGGAGTCTGATTAAAGCTATGGGGCCTCTCTTCAGAAAAACATACTGTTGTCCCAGGAAAATGTACCAGTTCCAAGGCTCCAAAGAAATCTCTCAGGGCCCTAAGAAAATGCTGCATTATCATGAGGGTTGAAGGAACCAGTGACACTTTAAATCTGCCCCTGAATTTAAAAAGCCCCAAGGGGATTAAGTAAACCTTACACTGTACACCCAGGACTTTGTTCTTGTCCCTCAAAGGGACTTTGAGACACGTTGAATTGAAGGCACAGCCACTTGAAAGTGGTGTGTGTTAAGGCAGTTGTGCCTCCATAACTTTCAACTGATCCAGCCATCTCTTAACAATAAAAAGACTGTAATATAGTAGAAGTAATCAAAGTCAGGCAAATATAGATTGGAATCTTGGTAGCCCATCTATCACTTTCTAGCCTTTTTAAAAAAAATTGTATTAAATTGTGAATTATGTGGAAATGTAAAGAATATGAATTCAGAAACTTCCTAGATGGGCTTGAATTCAGATCCTGTCTCTGCTCTTTGCTAATATGCTAGGCCAAATTAATTTTTTAATAAAAAAATATTTATTTATTTAAAAGGCAGAGTGACATAGATACGGGAGAGACAGAAAATTTTCTGTTCGTTGGTTTCAGCCCTCAGATGACTGTAATAGCTAGGGCTGGGCCAGCCCCAAGTCTGGAGCCAGACACACCATGTGGGTCTCCAACAGTGTGGCAGGGGCCCAAATATTTGGGCCTTCATCCTCTGCTTTCCCACGCGCATTAGCAGGGAGATGTGAGTGGAGCTGCTGGGACTGGAACTGGCACTCTAATGGGATGCCAGTGTTGCAAGCAGCATCTTAACCCACTGTACTACAGTGCCAGTCCCTGTTTAATCTTTCTGAACATCAGTTTATTTGAAAAGTAGGGATAAGCAGCCTGTATTGCAGGGCTATTGAGATAGTTAATACTACTCTGCGTAAAATGCCTGAGCCATACTATTTGTTTGTCCTAGGTGGCTATGATAATGATGTGGGTTACAGTAAGATCTGCTCTTTGGAGATTAGATGCATGTTCACATACAGTTACAACCTTTGTGTCACAGAGCTCTTGAAGATTTCAGTTTCCTAATCCACTTTGACAGACATGATTGCTTCCACTGTTTACCAATGACTGTTACAGTTCCCTGGCCCTGAAACTGGGTCTCAAGGTCAGGATTTCCTTAACTTTGCTTCCTTTTTTTAAAATTTTTTTCCTGTTTTGAAAACGCCTAAAAAATATAATTTAAATTTATGCATTTATACAAGCAGGAATAAATAATTTACCAAAGTTACTATTTGTCTCTGAATTCATTTTTCACATTAAGAGACCTGAATTTAAAGGTTCACAGATAGATTCCAGTGTCTGGTTTATAGTGATTAGCTCCATCTTAAGCACACCAAAGCTATAAAATTTGAATAGTACTGGTAGTCTTTGAAAATTAAGGAAATGTCAGATATTTATCAGCTTTCAATGCCTGGCCCATGATTTTTATTTTTATACAGAAATTAAAGTAAGCTTTATGTCCTTATATGCTTCCTTCTTGCCACCTACACTTATTTTTCTCCCATCCTATACAACCTTTAGTGATAATGTCTTTTCTGCTTAGTATCAGCAAAGTTTATAGAAAAGCATAAAATTATTGTTGTTGCCTTGAAACAGTGTTTCTTTATAGGCAAAAGAGTAATCTAGGAAGATTTAAAAGTAAATATTTATAAATTGGCTGTTAATTGTTTGCCTTGTATCAATACATTCCAGAATTTCTTTCACAGCGGGGAGACCAGGAAGAAGCTAACAGGTTATCTATGTGCAGGCGGTGCTTCTCTAGAATTTTCTGTTTTGTAAATATACATTTTTATTTTTAATTTTTTAAAATATTTATTTATTTACTTGAGAGACATTTACAGAGAGAAAGAGAGACAGAGAGAGAGGTCTCTATCCACTAGTTCACTCCCCAGATGGCCACAACAGCTGGAGCTGAACCAATCTAAAGCCAGGAGCCAAGAACTTCCTCTGGGTCCCCACATGAGTGGAGGGGCCCAAGGACCCAGCCGTCTTCCACTGTTTTCCCAGACCATCAGCAGGGAGCTGGATCGGAAATGGAGCGGCTAGGACTCGAACCGACTCATGGGATCATGGGATGCCGACTCCACAGGCGGATGCTTAATTAACCAACTATGCGATAGCACTGGCCCCCATTTTTTTAAACAAGCATTTAATCTATTCAAATTGTTATTTTAGGTACTGCTATAGAACACTGTAGTGGGCCGGCACCGTGGCTCACTAGGCTAATCCTCCACCTAGCAGCACTGGCACACTGGGTTCTAGTCCCAGTTGGGGGGCCGGATTCTGTCCCGTTGCCCCCCTTCCAGGCCAGCTCTCTGCTATGGCCCAGGAGTGCAGTGGAGGATGGCCCAAGTGCTTGGGCCCTGTACCCCATGGGAGACCAGGAGAAGCACCTGGCTCCTGCCTTCGGATCAGCGTGGTGCGCCCGCCACAGCGTGCCGGCCGTGGCGGCCATTGGAGGGTGAACCAACGGCAAAAGGAAGACCTTTCTCTCTGTCTCTCTCTCTCACTGTCCACTCTGCCTGTCAAAAAACAAACAAACAAACAAAAAAAAAACCACTGTAGTGGAGGATATACTTATTTCTGAGTGTTTTATGTTGATATTCCTTCCTGTTTGTTTTAGGACACTTGGTGGGGTTCCCACACAGGCTCCTCCGCCTCTAGAATCAACCTCATCTTCACAAATCATCTGTCCTGATGGAGTCACCTCAGCAAACTTTTACCCAGAAACTTGGGTTTATATGCATCCATCTCAGGACTTCATCCAAGTGCCTGTTTCTGCAGAGGACAAGAGTTACCGAATCATTTACAATCTTTTTCATAAGACTGTGCCTGAGTTTAAGTATAGAATTTTGCAAATATTGAGAGTCCAAAACCAGTTTCTTTGGGAGAAATATAAAAGGTGAGTGAGAGTGAAGAAAAGTACAAGAGAGCTTTACTTGTAATGTAGCTAACATCAAAACCAAACATAGTAAACACTTGCCTAGGATTTAATATGTTCATCTTTTTCCATATATATTTACTCATACAATCCTCATGGTAGACCTATAAATAGGCTTATTGTAATTTACATTTTACAGAGAGGAAACTGAGTCACAGAAAAAAATTCAGTAATTTGCCAGAGATCGTGCAGCTAATAAGATACGATGCTGGAATTTTAACCCTAGCAGTCCAGCAAAGAGGCCTTGCTCTTAATCCCTTTACTATGCTGCCTCTCAGGTCAACAGATTAATGTAGTACAGAAGTATTATGTGCAGATTTGAGAAATCTAAGAATTAACAGATGCTCAGATTGGAGGAATTAGACAAAGCATCCCAAGCAAGGTAAGATACGAGAACTAGATTTGGAATGGAAGAGAAAGCAATTCAATGATTGGAAAAGGACTTTTCTGAGATGCAAGATAAAAGTTAAAACTTCCAATATCATCTTTGATGACTCTTTGGTAGCTACTTTAATATTTCTTCCCCCATGATACCCTAAGGAGAAATTTATGATTATGCCATGCCTATTAAATTGATCTGTATTTCCTGTCCACTTTTTGTAATAGGAAAAAGGAATACATGAACAGGAAAATGTTTGGCCGTGACCGAATAATAAATGAAAGACATTTGTTTCATGGAACATCTCAGGATGTGGTTGATGGAATCTGCAAGCACAACTTTGATCCCCGAGTCTGTGGAAAGCATGCTACAATGTTTGGACAAGGCAGTTACTTTGCAAAGAAGGCAAGCTACTCTCATAACTTTTCTAAGAAGTCCTCCAAGGGAATCCATTTCATGTTTTTGGCCAAAGTGCTGACCGGCAGATATACAATGGGCAGTCATGGTATGAGAAGGCCCCCTCCAGTCAATCCTGGCAGTGTCACCAGTGACCTATATGACTCTTGTGTGGATAATTTCTTTGAGCCTCAAATTTTTGTCATTTTTAATGATGACCAGAGTTATCCTTATTTTGTTATCCAATATGAAGAAGTCAGTAACACTGTTTCCATTTGAAAAATCTTGGTACTGCTAAATTATTTGATATGAACTCAATCCAGCATTTGTAGCAGGTTTTGAGTGGGTGGGACTGGGTGGGGAACAGCATTGGACATTAATAGGGCACTTTTCAGACCCAGTTTTTTAAGTGCTAGAAAGTGTAAATTTTTTTTTAAGAAAAACAAGTTTTAAAGTGATCACTTATTCTTTAATTATTTACTAATTGTTAGTGTACTCAGTGTGGAAAAGACTACAAATTACATACTCTTTTCATTCACACTTGTACATAGAGACAGCAATATTATTAGAAGCATTAAAAAAAAAAAAACTGAACAGCCTAACTAATTAAATGTGGCTTGGGTTGGGTAGAAGTTTGGTCAAATGAGATGGAGGCTGTGAACAAAGTGAGGATTCCATTTATTTACATTGATAAAACTGACTGGAAATAATACTACCAGGCTTATTTCCCCTCCAAAGCATCACCGCTTTGGTGTAGTATAAGTTGTTAATTCTGATGGGTGGAAAAAAATTTTTTTGTTTCCATAAGCAGGACTAATATACATCACCCGATCACAGAGAGTGTCAATGACTGACTGTTCTGGCTGGGTTTGCTTGTATTCAGAATTCTGTTTAGAGAACAATTTTAAAAAGAAAATACCATTTGAAGAATTTTTGTCACCAGCAAAATTTTTCTCTAACTAGTTACATGAATTGTGTTGTTAAACTTCAGCCTTGGAAAACTCAGTTTCTTCCATTATCATCCACTTTAGCTTGAAGGAGTTGGGCAGCTAATTTTTTTAAAGCCAGTCTTGAGGATTAGAAAGAACTATTATGCTCTTTTGGGGTTCCGAAAGATTTAGAGAAAGGAAATAACATCTTACAACTAAATTGATACGGTTTATTGCTGTGCTAGCACAAATTAGATTCTCAGAAGTATTTGAGTTGGAATTATTGTTAAAGTTGGTAATCCCATCCCTATGCCTGCTTTGTCAGGTGCAGCTGGGTTCCCTGGCTGACTCTGTATCTTACACTACATAACAGAAACACGGACTTGGGAATTGTGCCACTGGCCCAGGTAGAGCGCTGTTAGGTGAATATGCTGTTGCCTCAGTTTAGAGAGAGAGCAGGTAGGTGTACTTCACCCTTGGCAAAGCAAATAACCTGGATTTACAAAAGTGGAAGTGGTTCACAAAATAATTAACAGAATTATTTCATATACTAAGCTCTCCTAGTATATTGTGGTTATGTCATTTACCCAAAACTTCAGGAACTTCTGTGTTGTTTAAAGCAAGATATATCTATACTGATGTCTCAGTGAATCAGTCTGTTTAAGCACTTGTCAGGGCTTCCACACAGTTATTTATTTTGCCGTAGTTGATCCTGTTGTTTGCTGCCATTGGCATGAAACGGGCAACTGTGGCTGTTACAGTTGTTCTTTCATTCAGTTATAACTTGTAAACCAGTGATTCCCAGTCTTTTTCAAATTAAGACACCTTGCCCATTGCTTATTTGATTTTATGAAACTTGTTCCTTTTTTCTCCCTAAAGAAAATGAAAGCTTTATGACATATTTATTTTTTTAATAAAACTAAGCAAAAATAAAAGTTATGGTAATTCTTTAAAACTTGTGTTGTTGTCTTGTTTCCATTTAAGATACTTGAATTAGACGTGCTGTGTAAATGCTGGCTGGCTGCCTGATTGGTTGCTTGTTGTCTAAACTTCAGTGGTAATGCACAGAAAGTTCTTCAGCTAGCAGTTGAGTGTCAGTCACAAGGGAAGAATGAGTAGTCTACTTTATAGATAAGTATTTGGAGGAAACTGACTACTTTTATGTTAGCAAACGTCTATAGAGAAAACCTTAAGTGGGTTGTCACCTTCAGCATGTGACAGCCTTAAATTTTAGCCAAATGAAAGTCTTATTAACGGTATATGTATATCTTTTGTAATGGTTCTGTGAATTTAAAACATAGTAAATGTCATTTGGTGATTTTCTTCGCAGCAGCTCAACTGTAATTTATAGCCAGAAAGCTGGAATTTAACATGGTTGAGATTCCCTGAGATATTCCGGTGTCATATAATGCTATATAGATGGAGATTTTTGTGTGTGAAGTTTATAAATACTGGATTCCTTAAAATGATTAATGTAAATCCCCAACTCTTATTGTCTTATTGTAAACCTGTTTTTATAAATTATTATTCATTTATAAAAATAATCATTAGGTTCTGAAATTCTAACCTTTAAAGCATTTTTATTGATAATCCATGAAAATGACTAAATGAAAGGGAATATTCAGTTACCAATGCCACATTGCTAGTTTAAAACTGTACTAAATACTGTCGGTTTAAGTCAAAGGGATATTTTTCTTTTATTTAGACTATAAAATATTTGTTTCTCTTTAATTGGAATAAAACAGTTAAATGCATTTTAGAAATTTCTGCATTACAGAATCTTATATCACATAGTTATTGCTATACTATGTGATTAAAAAAAAGTCTTGGACCAATTGCTCTTTAACTTGGTTAGTTTTAGCCTTTGGAAGACTTAAAAAAAGCTAAACATGTTCCAACTTTGCAAAGTTTCTAACTCTACAAAGTGTTTTTGTAAAGTGCTATATAAAAAACTGATACTACTTATTTACAAATTAAAAGGTTAATTTTCTTTAGGAAAGATAATTTTCAAAACCCATGTGATTTATTGATTTAATTACTTTATTACAGGCAAGCTAAAGAAGTGAAACAGCACTTTAGCTTACTAACCTAAGTTACCTGTAGGCTATCATTGTAGGATATGTAGGATATATCATTGTAGGATATATGGGTGCCCTTCGAGTCCCAGCTGCTGCTATTCCCATCTGTCTCCCTGCTAATGTGCCCAGGAAAGCAATGGAAGATGGCTTAAGTGCTTGGGCTTCTACCATCCTTGTGGGAGACACAGATGAAGCTCCTGGATTGGGCATGACCTCGTCCCGGCCATGGGAGTCATTTGGGTAGTGAACCAGGGACGGTAAAAAAGGTAATGTTTTGGCAAATTCTTCAAACTAGAGGAGTGGTACCTAGCCATTTTAAATATGTCAGGATTTCGCAGACCCTTATGATAGTACTTAATTATACTTCAGCAATGATTAATGAAATGCAGAATGACCAAAAGCTACTAACAATTCAGTGATTCTTTTTTTGTAAACAATGACTCTACACAACCACATGTACCTACATTTGATATTTGGAATTTACTTAGTCTATATTTGGTGCTCAGGTAAATTAATGAACTTGTGATCATTTCCATAAGCTGCTGTAATTTGTAATTTACAGACTGGGACAGGTTGGGAAACTCTGGGCTGAATTATTTCTGTATTCAAGTTTAAATAATTGGGGCCAGTGCTGTGGTGTGGAGGGTAAAACTGCTGCCTGCAGTGTCGTCATCCCATTTGGGTGCTGGTTTGAGTCCCAGCTGCTCCACTTTGATCCAGCTCTCTGCTGATGGCCTGGGAAAGCAGTGGAAGATGGTATAAGTCCTTGGGCCCCAGCACCCTGTGGGAGACCTGGAAGAAGCTCCTGGCTCCTGGCTTTGGATCAGCGCAGCTCCAGCTGTTGCGGCCATCTGGGGAGTGAACCAGCAGATGGAAGACCTCTGTCTCTGCCTTTGCCTCTTTGTACCTCTGCCTTTCATGTAATTAATTTAAAAAAAAAGTTTAAATAATTTCCTTTTATACCTAGGTGTATATTCTTAATTGTAGCCAATCTTAAAATAGCCTTAACAGGCTCAACCAGTTTTCAAGAGCCTCTACTGCTAATGCTTAGCATTTGGTGGACCCCGTGTTAGAGACAACAGAGCTGTACTTTGAAGTGTTTCACATGATATTAAGGACTATCTAACAGATTTAGGTGACAAGAGCACACTAACCAGGTGTGCTGCTCAACTGCATGATTATGTGGTATTCATCTTTATTAATAAACTTGTGCAGCCATCAATTTATAATCTTTTTTTGAGCAGCAGTGATGAATTGAGTAATAATCCCTTCTGACAAAAGCTGCGCTTTGGAAGATTTTACTGAATAGGACCTTGGTCAAGGATGTGGTTTCTTTTTTTTTTTTTTTTTTTTTCGACAGGCAAAGTTAGAGAGAAAGGTCTTCCTTCCGTTGGTTCACCCCCCAAATGGCTGCAATGGCCAGCGATGCGCTGATCCAAAGCCAGGAGCCAGGTGCTTCCTCCTGGTGTCCTAGGCGGGTGCAGGGGCCCAAACACCTGGGCCATCCTCCACTGCACTCCTGGGCCACAGCAGAGAGCTGGACTGGAAGAGCAGTAACCTGGACAGAATCCGGTGCCCCAACTGGGACTAGAACCCGGGATGCTGGTGCCACAGGTGGAGGATTAGCCTAGTGAGCCACAGCACTGGCCAAGGATGTGGTTTCTAAACTGGGTACAATAAACTGTCTGATTTAGGGGTAGCATCCATAAATTCTAATTCAGTGTTGTTCTCAGTGATCTAAGCTTTAGTTCTAACCATTTGTAAATGTTGAATTTTTTTTTTTTTAAAGATTGTTTTATTTGGCAGCCGGTGCTGTGGTGCAGTGGGTTAACGCCCTGGCCTGAAGTGCCGGTATCCCATATGGGCACCGGTTCTAGTTCTGGCTGCTCCACTTCCAAATCAGCTCTCTGCTATGGCCTGGCAAAGCAGTAGAAGATGGCTCAAGCCCTTGGGCCCCTGCACCCATGTGGGAGACCTGGAAAAAGCTCCTGGCTTCAGATCAGTGCAGCTCCAGCCGTTGAGACCATCTGGGGATTGAACCATCGGATGGAACACCCCTCTCTCTCTCTACCTCTCCTCTCTCTGTATAACTCTGACTTTCAAATAAATACATAAATCTTTAAAAAAAAAAAAGATTTATTTATTTGAAAGTCAGAGTTACACAGAGAGAGAAGGAGAGGCAGAAAGAGAGAAAGGTCTTCCATCCGCTGGTTCATTCCCCAGTTAGCCACAAAGGCCGGAGCTGCACTGATCCAAAGCCAGGAGCCTCCTCCGGGTCTCCTATGTGGGTGCAGGGCCCAAGGACTTGGGCCATCTTCTACTTCTCCCAGGCCATAGCAGAGAGCTGATTTGGAAGTGGAGAAGCCAGGTCTTGAACTGGTTCTCCTAAGGGATGCCCACACCGCAAGTGGCGCCTCTACCTGCTATGCCACAGTGCCAGCCCCGCTGAATTTCTTCTAAATGCAATCTTTTTTTTTTAAATCTAGAAGTTTTATTCCAGCAATCCACTTTTTAAATATATCCTAAATATATGCAAATTGGAAAGCATATGTATGTCATAACACAAATTTGACCAATTCTTATTTAAATTAACTATGATATATATTTTTAATAGAAAACATTTTTTGGATTATAGCAGTTCTTCCTCGTGATACTTACTTTTCCACCCCCAAACCATCCCATTTCCTACTCCCTCTCCCATCCCATTCTTCATTAAGATTCATTTTTAATTATCTATATACAGAAGATCAACTCTATACTGAGTAAAGATTTCAATGGTTTCCACCCACAGACACAAAATATAAAGTACTATTTTGAAGATTAGTTTTACCATTAATTCTTACAGTACAATACATCAAGGACAGAGGTCCTACATGGGGAGCAAGTGCACAGTGACTCCTGTTGCTTTAACAATTGACACTCTTATTTATGACGTCGGTAATCACCTGAGGCTGTTGTCATGAGCTGCCAAGGCTATGGAAGCCTCTTGAGTTCACCAACTCTGACCTTATTTAGACAAGGCTACATCAAGTGGAAGTTCTTTCCTCCCTTCAGAGGCCCCTTCTTTCCACCGAGATCTCACTCACAGAGATCTTTCATTTACATCATTTTTTTTTTTTTTTTTTTTTTTGCCACAGTGTCTTGGCATTTCATGCCTGAGATACTCTCATGGGCTTTTTAACCAAAACTGAATGCTTTAAGGGCTGATACTGAGGCCAGAGTGCTGTTTAGGGCATTTGTCATTCTGAGTCTGCTGTGTATCCCTGTGTGTCACTAGCCATCAGGGAAATGCAAATCAAAACCACAATGAGGTTTCACCTCACCCCAGTTAGAATGGCTCACATGCAGAAATCAACTAACAACAGATGCTGGCGAGGATGTGGGGAAAAAGGGACACTAACCCACTGTTGGTGGGAATGCAAACTGGTAAAGCCACTGTGGAAGACAGTTTGGAGATTCCTTATAAACCTGAATATAGCCCTACCACACGACCCAGCCATCCCACTCCTTGGAATTTACCCAAGGGAAATTAAATTGGCAAATAAAAGAGCTGTCTGCACCTCAATGTTTATTGCAGCTGAATTCACAATAGCTAAAACCTGGAATCAACCTAAATACCCATCAACAGAAGACTGGATAAAGAAATTATGGGATATGTACTCTGTGGAATACTACACAGCAGTAAAAAAAATGAAATCCGGTCATTTGCAACAAAGTGGAGGAATCTGGAAAACATCATGCTGAGTGAAATAAGCCAGTTTCAAAGGGACAGATATCATATTTTCTCCCTGATTGGTGACAACTAACTGAGCAGCTAAAAGGAAACCTGTAGAAGTGAAACACACTATGGGAAGCAATGAATTAATCAGTCCTTGTC